ATTGCTCTTGTTAAATGAAAGAGTCATATAATGATCTCAGTGTATGAACAGGCGATCCCTGTGATCCAAAGTATGAGTGTTAGGGCTTCTGTAAATGCTCCATTTTCCTAATATGGCCACTTCAGGCAGGCACACACACACACACACACACACACACACACACAGACACACACACACACAGACACACACACACACACACACACACTTTCTGTTCTGTTTAGATGAGATGGAGAGAAGCAAGCTGTTTGTAAGCCACGGCCAATCAGAGGACGAGGATGGACTTAAAAAGACGTGAGGTAAGCAGCTTGTTTCTGACACAGGACAAACTGAGGGGCTTCACTCAGACCTGGATTTCAGACACTTCTTTTATACTCTTGACTCTTTATGATGTTGTATGACGTTCTGTTTGTGAGAGGCAGCCAATCAGAACAAGGCTGGCTTTAAGGGAGATGTGTCAAACTGACAGGGTTCAGCAAGGCCCAGTAGAAGATAAACAGAGATTATTTTGAAGCATAGTGCTAAAAAATGTAGGTGGAAAGAAATCCCTTTTAAATGTACTTTTAAGTCATATTGTTTGCAGATACACTTGTGCTCTTGTCTTTTTCCAGAAACACACTTACTCACAGTCACACCTGGAAACTGGACACCAGCACAGCGAGCTCCTCTGCAGTAGAGTAGGGCTCCTGTTTCATGGGATAAAGGCAGGTAAGTGGTAATAAGTGGTGATAAAGTTCTTTTCCTTTATCTCTTGTGCTATTTACGAATAGAAACCTTAATCTGCATTGTGGACAGTTACACAGACGAAATGTCTGAACAAGTGCAGTCAGGCAGCAATTATCCTATAGCATAATCCGGTTGATCTGATATCCTCGTGTTGGTGTTGTTCCCAGATCATCATACTAAATGTTGTTCCAGGATCAACATTGCAAGTGACCAATCAGAATGTTGTGACGTCATACTTTTGCAACTTCGGGAAAAACTGGCGTGAAAAAAAAAACTGTACTAAAGCTGCGAGAAACCGCCTCTGTCCGCCGATCAACGGACCCTGACCCTAACCGTAACCCTTTAATAAACAGTAAGCAGAATTGATATTGTCCTTGCAACATTGGAATTTCATAAATGCACGAATGGCTTGGCGCGCAAAAGAATAACGTCACAACAATGTGATTGGTCACTTGCAATGTTGATCCTGGAACAACATTTAGTATGATGATCTGGGAACAACACCAACACGAGGATATCAGATCATCCTTGTCTGTATATGTATACATATGTATATTTAGTGTGTACATGTGTGTGTGTACATGTCTATAAATAGGAATAGTAGTGGTACAATAGCTATATCAAGCTATATAGTTTATGTCTTCCATATTTCCAACTATATCCATAATCACATACTGTGTATGCTACCATTGTATATAGTGTATTATCTTACTTTTTTTCATTGATTGTACTCAATTGTATTTTTGTATTTCCTTCTGATATCTGTACCTGAGCTGAGGTGACGCAAAAATTTCCCTGTTGTGGGATCAATAAAGTCTTATCTTATCTTATCTTATCTTATCTTATTGTGAGTATTGGATGTCATTAAAACATGCATAGTGTGCATGGAAATGTTGATGAATGTGATTTAATGTGATGGATTAGATTAAAAAAGGATTCAGATCAGATTCTGCAAAAGAAGGCGGAGCTGTCCTTACACTCATGTTTGTTGTTAGTTAATGCAATTAAATGTGTCTGGAAATCCACAGAGAGTCTCAAAGTGGGCCCTTCTTCAAATTCAGCACCATCTTTATGTTTTATCGTATGCTGTTCATTCAGTGGTACATTATTCCAATTAGCTTTCTGATATTGATGTTAGAAGCATAATTTTAAGACTAAAAATGTTGTAAACATTGAAATTGCTCATTATTCTATTAATAGTCACTTAAGAACAACCAGCTTTAAATGTTGGAGGGGGGGAATGATTAATAGACTCGTGTGGTTCTTGGAAGAGGACAGTACTACATGATCATGAGATAATGGTTATTGTATAAATAAAACAAGTAATGACTCCAAAGTCCTTTGCAGCACATCTCCCCACTCCAGGTAACGCCCCCATGCAGGTATTTACTCCATTACCATGCGTCAGTGCAACAACACCGTTGGCTGGGTGTTTCCTGTTTTCACTGTCATAGCAGAGATAACTCAGGGTGGGAAAAGTGCCACATGAATGACATCCTTGACATTATGGAATTTTCTCATGCGCCTCTATCAGGAACTCATTAGCTATGGCTGACTGAATCTTTTCAGGCATTTGCGGCTCAGCTGGTAGATCAGAGTGTAATTACAGTGCCAGCGGTTTGTCCCTCAGCTCCTCCACCTGTCCACGAGTCCTTTATTAAGACAAGGAATCCAAAGCTGTTCCCAAGTCTCAGTTTCTTCCTGATTGTGTTTCCACTTTCAAGTTCTACTTTTGCCTTTTTTCAGGGAACCAATCATATATTAGATGGGCGACAAGAAAAAGACGAGGAAACAAAAAGGTGAACTTAAGGCAGCAGCTTTATTGCTGAGGAAATCTTCCATAAACCAAAATTCATAAAAAAACAAACTAAAACCCTGAGCATGACAACTAGAAACAAAACACTGGGAAACTAGAAATGTGGAAGGAAGTAATGAGGGAATGGGAAACAGGAGGAAAACACAGCTGGGACTAATTACACATAAAGAAACAAGGAGAAGCGAAACTAGATATGCTGACATATGACATGGGACCGTCAGAGGAAAACAGACCAGACACTGAGACATGGAGACACGACTGACTGGGGAGACATGGAGACAAAGGTGACTAGACAAGGAACACAGGGAAGGCAAAGTAACAGAAACCGAAATCCTGGAAACTAAAAATAAACAAAGCAGAAAACCATGAATGACAATAATCTAAAAATATAAATTAACCAATAAACACAAAACCCTGTTAGTTGATCTTCATTCTTACTCCTTGTCCTCCAGTCTTTCTTGAACATATTTAATAATATCTGTTATCCTTTATCACAAGCATTAATTATAGATCGTAGCTCCATGATGTAGTTTTAACACATTTTCCATGTGTGGAGACGTGGAGACACAACGTGGAGACACAAAACCCATCCTCAGGGGAGGAATCTGTATAAAATGAAACATGTGGATCCATCTGCAGTGGTAATGCCTCGGAGAATGAGGGAGCGGCCGCATACATGCACAGTATGTAAAAACGAACACAGACACTCTGACATCACACACACTGGTTTTAGTATTTTGGGCACCACCACAATGGGTCGGGTTTTTTGGAACCAGAAATGATCAAATTTGGTCAAGATAGTGGTGCAAGCATGGTTAGCACCCATACACTGTACAGGTGCAACACACAGTAATAGATTGTTAACATACAACAATTTCATTCACCAAACACTGGAGCACAGATTTTTTGGAGGCACCATAAAGCACTAACAACACAAACACAGTTTAGGGACAAATGCTAGAATACAATTGCCGGCTAGAGCTGCCTGTGACATGATAATTGTCAAACAAGTGGCCACGCCCCTAACTTGAAGTCTATATAAAGTTTAAAATGGTGCAAATAAAAAGATTTAAAAAGAAAAAGAAAAACTATAAATAATGATAACAATAAATATGTAACTGTTAAATGAAACCATGTTGCAAATAAGACAAGAGAGAGAGAGCTGCAGCTAACAGTGTGTGAACAACAAACCATTAATAAAGAGATGCTGCAAAACATGAACGTGCACCTGGGTCTGCTGTCGGTTTGTTACATGGATACATTTAAATATTAAATGTTACCATCCCATAGCCTCACTTTGTTTGACTGTAGATCAAAGTGAAATTATTTTATTCAGTGATCAGGTTTTCTTGCCATGCACAGTTTGGACCGCTTAACTTGTACATATAAAACATATTGCCTCATACTTAAAACATACTGTGAATAAAATAATCTGTGAAAACACTGAGATTTGAGCTCATTTTTAAAACTCTGAACATAGCCTGCTCTGGCCAGGTTATGTGTCCAGGATGTGTAACCATGGTGATTTAGCCAGGCAGGTAAATAGAGCAGCCTTCATGAGACAGAAACACTAATTTTACTCTAACCCATTTATCTCAATTTGTAGTACAGAAGGTTACAGCCTGATACTGAAACAGTTTAGTTCCTCAAAATGGCTCGAGTTAATTAAAAATAATCGGTCTAATTAAATCAAAGGAGAACAAATGTTGTGAGAAGTGAAGCATTAATTTTGTGCTCTTCCTGCTTTAAAAACATGTTGCTGTGGCAGTGAACATTAACATTATTATTAGTGATATTAGAGTTCACACTTTTTGAGTATTTCAGACCTGCTGAAACTGTAAGAGGATATGTGTCATGTTGAGATCACTGAACTTTGACAACTCCCATGCAAAGCAGGAAATTCCCAAAAGTTGCTTAAATTACCCAAAACACGTCATTGAAAAATGCAGTTTGTGTGCATTTCTGTGTTGCTGCACCGTTTGTGTGTTCAGGATTATGTCTTCCAGAGGTGTAAGCTGAGGAAGACGGTAGGTAAAGCGGGATTAGACACATTTCCCTCCACTCTAGCTCAGATTAAACCGCGGCTGAGCTTGATGAGCTATTGTTGTTTGTGCCGCTTTCAAACCCGTGCTTCATTTTCCCTCACAAATACTCCACCTATACAAAGTGGAGGTGTGCGCTAACCTCGTGCTTCTTTTGTCATTGTCCCACTGAGAAAATCCTGATTACTGATGAGTGTGCGTGTATGCATGTGTGTGGCTGTTTGTAGGTTAGTGAAAGATTGCTGTGGCTGTAGATAAGAGGATTAGGGTGGAATTAGTGTCATTCCTCTATCGCCGCGAGGAATAGATTCATATCGATTTTAATCAGGGATAGAGAGATCCACAAAACTGCAGAAACAAACAGACTGGGGGAGAGAGAGAGGGAGAGGGAGTGAAAGTGAGAGAGAGGAGAGCAGTAGATGATTTGGAGGGAAGGCAGAAGATTCCTGGAGATCATCGAGCTGGGATGTTCAGCTGGAAACTTGGGAGCTGCAGAGATCTACGCTGCAGAGACACATGAATACTTCAGGAACTTCCTCATGTTTTTGTCCTGGTTGGAAATCTCACTGACGTCCTGGAGGTCTCTGGTTGAGGAAACGTCCAGCTGCTGTGGGATGTTTGACCAGCGTTAGTCAGCAGGACTGGAGGAGAGATGGTCGGGATGTTAGAGCTGTGTCTGCTTTGGCAGGGAAACCTGTGAAGAATGAAAGTGGACGTACTCACCTACCTGGCTCTGGCAGCAGTCAGCTTTGTCGCCATGGTGACTGGTGGCCGCAGTTCAAGCCGCAGGAAACACAAGGATGTCTTCCTCGGGGAGAACAGCAAGTTCAAGTTTGGAGGGTGAGACAGACTCGCTGTTAGATCTGTGTGTTCCTACTGAGGCAGTTTGAGCCAGTAGTGCAGATGAGATGAGAGCTGACTTATTGTTTGTGTCTTATTGTGCTTTTTGGGACTTTAATGTAGATGTGTTGAATGTGCCGTCCTGCTGTTGGTGTTCAATTCAATGCTTCAGATCTATTTATGCTTAAAAATGGCTTTGTCTACTTGATTCGTGTTGCAAAGTAATCCATGAGATGTTTCTTCTGATTATGAAGAAAAACTAGAACAGTAGAACAAATAAAGAGGCAAATAAAATAGTAAAAAGTGTCTCTCACAGCTTCCACTAGTTCCAGGGTGCATAGAGGGGTTAAACTCCTAAACACAGCCCGTTAAACGTAGCGGTTCAGTTTAAGTTCAAGATTTGATGCTATCTGTTTTCTCAGTGATGGAGGGAGGGCCTGAAGCCACATGACCATAAACCCAACCAATCAGTGCAGATGCTTTTTCTTTTTTTGTGAATGTCTCCAATTTGTATTTTTGAGCCTGAAAATTTTGCCTTTTTTAACATCACAGATCACAGAAACTGTGGTGATGTAAACTGGCTGGCTGAAGAGGTTTCTGTTTCTATTGTTGTGTTGTATACACAGCAGAACTAACAGCTAAAATGTGATATGGGCCCTGCACAGGGTAGAAAAGGTCAGACTGAGGAGAGCTGCCATACGGTTTTATTGGTACCTAAAGGAAACCAGTTGCTGCTGGACTTAAACCATAAAGATCCAGCTTTATGGTTTAAGATCCTTTTTATTAATCACTTATGAAATATGAGAGGCAGGATGATTGCCAGTCAGTCACATGGGCAACACACAGTGATTGGCAAACATTCAACCCTATGGTCAATGATAGAACTGCATGCATATCTCTGCACTGTGGGAGAACATGCAACCTCCTCACAGAAAGGCTTCAGCAGGCTTTCAGATTTGAACAAGGAGCCGTCTTCCTAAGAGACAACACTAACCATAAACATCTAAAAATGAATTACTTTTAGTCTGCGTGAACAGAACTATTATATTACTGCCTGCTGCGGTGGCCTTTTGTGATGAGGGAGCAGCTGAAAGTAGCTATGTGGCTTTGTATGAGTTTAAAATGCAGATTAAACCTCAGAGACTTTACATTTAGGCTGTGAAGCTTTTAAGTAAATAGACTCTCCCCCACTGACATTGCTGAGTGATCTATTGATGCTTTATGAATTCTTTTCACTGTTACAGCAACACAATTATTTAAAGTTACTAGAGCTGACTGAGGAGCAGGAAGCTGAAGTTTCTGCAGCATCAGTTTAGGGAGAGCAGAGACTTACAGGAAAGTCTGTGGTTGTCAGGAAGCTGTGATTCACTTCTGAAGCACACGTCACAAAGAGGTTCCCATATGGGCTGCTGACTCTCACATCCCAGTTTTACAGAAAAACCACAGAGTCGGCTGCAAAGGAAATTTCACTTCTGTAGATTTCCTTTCATTTGCTTAAAATAAATAATAATGTGTAAAAGTAACGCCAAGGTTCCCTGCCCTTCACAGCGTGGCAGGATTATTTTTAGTTAAAAAGTAAGTCTGCAGCACTTCACAGTTAAGTGGAAAAGCTGCTCTTTTTGCTTAGTCTGCTGTCTGCAGGAGCACCAGCCCACGGAGGAGTGACCACTGCAGGTTTAGCAAATTGCAGATTTTGAAAGCTTGCATCTCAAACAGGTTTTGAATGGAAAAAAACCAGTAGCAGCCAGTTTTCCAGAATCAGTGAATGCAGCTTCTGTTCTGAGCGGCTCACGCTGTTTAATAAGCTTCTTCAGATTCCTGTAGGAGAACCAAATATGTAAACTGCCTGAATGGACTTCACTCTGTCTAACCTAACATACATTTAACACTCTGATTTCTTTATCTCAGCCAAATTCAATATAAATATCTACTCAATATGTACAGTAGTTTGCAATCTGAAGTACAATTTGTGCATAAAAATGTTTCCAAAGCATGTCCAAGCACAGACAGTTATAATAATATTAATGACTCTGCATTTATTCCATTTAACACACTTAAAATAAACACATAAAGCAAATAAATGCAAATGCAATAAAAAGAGTCATGCAATAAAGCAGTGACTGAGTTTGACCCTTTGTCGTTTACACCACCTGAGAGCTGATGTATGTGTTGCAACAGTGAGATAACAATATGACCTTGATCCATGTATATAATACCATAACGCAGCCCTCACTGTTTGTACAGCAGGTAATCTCTGTGAAATTAAAGTGCAAAAACAGCCGAGTGAGTACACAGCAGAGCTGAAATTACTGCGATAAAACTAAATCGGCCTGTGATTGATGTTTGAGGTCACACTAAAAATTTTCTTTTACGTACATATGTGTTGAATATATATTACAATAAATGTAAAGGAGGCGTAAATGAAGGTTTGTAAATGTAGCACAGAACTGCATTGAACACTTTCCAGTAATGCAGCAAATAAGCCAGTTTCCAACAGCGTTTCCTTTAAACGGAGAAGATAAAATCCCTAAATTAGATTTGATTAGTTGTGTGTGTGTGTGTGTGTGTGTGTGTGTGTGTGTGTGTGTGTGTGTGTGTGTGTGTGTGTGTTCAGTGGAGTATTACAGCGGCAGTTGTGGGTGAATCCTGCTGCTGACAGCAGGCAGCCTGCCCTCATCTGTCGCACTGACCTGTGCTTTTGTGTGTTCATCTATCTTTGTGAGGACCAAATGTTTCCAGCAGTAGCTCACAGCTTCTGCTTAAACTATTTTGCTCATTTCAGGCAAAATATTTCATTCTTGGACTCAACTTGAACAGCTTTGTATGAGTTACAGGGGACGACCCGGGGGTGTTAAGCTTTCACTGGGAGTGACCAGAAGGGACAAAATTAAGAGGAGTAAATCAAAGGGATGGCTCAGGTTGAGTGTTACAGCCCTCTGCAAACCCCAGCAGCATTCCAAGAGTCTAGGTGTTGCCTTAACTGGCGACACTTAAACCTGACAAGGTGTGGAAAACAGCATGCCTGAGTTTGAGCAATGCCTTCATGATCTCTGGGCTGTCATTTTGAGCTGAGGTTATTAAATACTTTATTTATTAAAAACTTATAAAATAAAACACATTTTTCTACAAACTCTGGTGTTAGTCTCAACAATATTCTTTTGAGCATAACAGCAAGACTGAGATGGGTTTAGATGTGCAGAAGGATGGATATACTGGAAATGTTCAAAATAGTTCAGCTAGGAAGAAGAAGACCAGAGAGAAGATTTAAGGTTGTAGTGAAGGAGGAGATGAGACGCCGCTGTGGCGACGTCTAAAAGGAGCAGAAGAAGAAAGACTTTAAGACAAGTAGGAGCATTGTGTGTTGTTGAAAGCTCCTGAAAAACCTGAAACACAGTTGGTGCATTTTTAAGATTACATACAGTGTCCCTAAAGCCAGTTTAAGTAGCTAGGAATTGCACCACTAAAGCCCCCGCCTTCAACTGCTGCCCAATCCACAGAGCTTCTTTAAACTGGAAAGGCTTCAGCTGAGGTGGCTCCACATCTGATTAAGATGCCTCCTGGAAGCCTCCTAGCTGAGGTGTTTTGGGTGTGTCTAAATGGGTGAGGGCCTCAGGCTTTGCGCTCTTATGCATCATTTATCAATATGCTAACCTCCTTGTATGATAAGAACAGGCACAACTGTAACTGTATATATTTAACTAAATGTAGTAAAACCACTGTGCGCATCTATGAAAAGTACAATCCCTGTACTTTCATTCATGCTCATTATTAATACTCATGAATGCGTTTGTACCAGCATTTTCAACTTTAGCTGATTAAGGTAGAGGTTTTTCTCCAGAAGCAGATCAGAGGCTGAGCTCAGGTTTGGAGACAAAGTTAGAGAAGTGAGGCTGACATGGTTGCGACATGTGCAGAGGAGGGAGCTGATACTGGTAGGGTGAGATACCATCTGTCAAAGAGAGCGGTAAAAGAACAAAGAAGATGAATGTCTTTCTGTGGTTGCGCTGTGACCTGTCGAGGGGATAATGCTCCAAATCAGCTGAATCAGACTGTGAATGTTGGTTTTTAAAAACAAAATATCAGCAAATAGTTCATTTTTTTTAATCACAAAAGTAAAATGGACTGCTTTTGTCACTTTTTCAGTCACACATATCGGTGACCTTTGGATTTAGTATCATCCCCAAGGACATGCGAACCAGGAGAGGGAGGAATCAAATCACAGTCCTGCTAAAATCCTCTAACCTGCTCCGCCTGCTAAACCACAGGGACACCCACTGTGGCAACTTCACAATGGAGGTTTTATCCAACCAAATTTAAAAAAAAAACAAAAAAATTAAGTGATTTGAGCACAAGACCTGTACTTTCAAAGGCCATTAACGAATACTGAATTGTGTAGTTTTACAAAAAAACAAAAGGAACTTTTAGGGGAGAAAAATTTGTGTGAGTCAGAATTTTCAGTATCTGAATGCATTTCCTCCTCCAGCCTCTAAGATGTCAGGACTTTAGAGTTTTATGTCTAAAACGAGAACTCTTTATTTCATTTGAGCAACAATTTTTTAAAAAACATCCAGGGTTGATTGTTAGTTGATTAAATTAGCTTCAGGCTTGAGATTAGCGCTACATTAGGTTTGTTCTGGCTGGATTTTGGAGTGTTAGTCAAGGTTAATTTAAAGGATTATAGAAATAGGATTTGGCTGAAATTATTTTTTTTAACCTCACAATAACAGAGGAATGAATGTGTGTTTGTGTGTCTGCGTGTCCATGTGTGTTCTCCTTGATGTGTGTCGAGGTGTGTGATTTTTAAAGAGGCTTTTCATCCACGAGCGGAGAAGATCTCAAACAGCTTCCATCGCTTTTACCGCTGCATGTTCACCTTTGCACCGCACATCTGTGCATGTGATTACCACGTCCACACACACACGCATGCAATTCTGCATGTATTACAACTGAAAGTCAGTTATGCTTGAGCTATAATTACACTTTATGCATCCTAAATGTCGTCTCTCTGGGGCTCCCTGTTTGAATGTGGGTCCTGCATAACACTATCGCCTGCACTATGACTTTGGTCTTTGTCATTTGCAGACAGTTTCAACCAAAAACACTCGACACCATTGACAAGCTGCTACATAAGAACCTTGCAGAGTTCCTACAAGGTTGTGTGTGAAGACTCATTGTTCACTGCTTTCTCAAAAATCTGGTTAAAAGCTCTGTAAACATTTCAGCCACATATCACAGACAGCATCTGTCTCAGCATCAGAGTCCCCTCCATCCAAAATCCACACGATAAATCCAGAAGCTTTGGAAGTCCCCTGATATCAACAAAGCCTCACAACAACCTCATGATGAAGGTCATAAGTTGCATAAAACAAGAAAATCTTATTATATATTATCTACAGTTTGATTAGATTTAGACTTTAGGCTTCATAAGCTTTCTACGCGTGTGCTTATGTTTTGTTTGTTTGTTTGTTTCGTAAATATTTGAAGGCGTTTATCTAATTGTGTGGTACTTTGCGTGTCTCTTTTAAGCACATCTGTTTTGGATTGTTTGTATGCTTACATGTAAACATTATTTTCTCCTTGTGGTAGATTCGTGTCCTTTGTCTTGTGTGTCTCTCTGTGGTCCTTTGGGTTGTTTGTGGGTTCCTATGTTGTGGTCTGGTTTAGCTGATTTGTTTAGCATTGTGGTTGTTTCTTTTTTCGTTCATTTGATTAGTTTGTGCGTTCAAATGACGTCATCTTGTTTCTCTTTTGTAGAAATTTTCCATTGCGTTGCAGTATTGCATGGTGTCACATGTGCCTCTGTGCTCTGTGCCTGGGGTTATTAAGCCTTACCAAATTGAGCATTAGTTCAGGCAGGCCACAAAGTCAAACCCACCTGCAGTCCAGGCCAATGTCACTCTGATCTCAAAGCTATGCAAGGCTATGCATCAAATTCTCACGTAGATTGTGTTGTTTAAGCTGCTTAAGCCTGCCCGTATCTGCCCCGTGTCTTTCAATCTGCAAACCACTTTGCAACCCAGCTGCTCTGAACTAATCCACGTCTGGGGGAGATGAAAGGGTAGGAAAGCACACACAGAGCACACATACAAAATGTATCTATTTAACACTGTAGATTGAATTTTCCCAACATCCTCTTTGTTGCATCGCATGAGATTTAATATAAAACTTTGACAAAGACCAAGCAGCAGCCTGAGAGTCAGTTCCTCAAAGTGAGTCAATCCCCTCAGGCAGCCATGTAAATAAAAGGTCCGTTCTTACAGTAGAAATGAAACTGTGTACAGCTTGGTTGAAACAGTTCCGGTGTCACAGCTGTTCTGCTCTGGTCTCCCCTCATCCTGCTGTCCTCGAACAACTGAACCACACTGATAAATACACATTTCTGCAGGTGGAAGTAACGATCGCTTACTGGACCGGGCTCAATTATATGAGTATTAGTGTTGATGTAGCAGCTGTAGAAGTTTTGTTTGTCCTTGCTGTCTTAGCATGATAAACAATAGGTTTTTATTGTAAATTTTAATTTGATTATCACAGTCCGGATCCATGCTTGATGGCTTAAATGGTGATTCGAAAGTAGCCTAAGGTGTGTCCAGACAAAACAAACTGTGAGTGTTTTCAATTTTTATATATTATTTTATGTGTTATTAGATTTTTTTTACCATAATGCTATTCATATTATGATATATGTAGTTTAGTATTATATATGTTGTAGTTTAAATTCTAAACTACTCTACACTCTTTTTATACTACCGACACTTTATTCACCTTTCAGTCACTTTAATTTTAAAACTGTATATTCTGTGTATTTATTATCTCACTCTCATTGCCTGTTCTTATTGTCCTTATCGTCAATGTTATGCTGCTCTGTTTTATGTTAATTGCCCCTTGGGGATAAATAAAATCTTTCTGAATCTGATTCTAATATTATAATAATAACAAATGAATTCAAATAATACTGAAACTAATAATAAAAAGACTTTAGAACATTAAAAACAAAATTGAAATGATAAACCTCACTTTGGATACTAAACTGAGCCCTGTTGTTTTTGCCATGTACTGTAAACATTTTAAGCCTTTTATATTATAATGTGTGTTATAATTGTATGGAGGATTAGTCCTGACTTCTCCGTGAAGGCCAAGAAGCCACCTCTAATGGTCCATGCAGCTGAAAATGCTCATTATCTGTGTTTGACTGTTGACTCTCAGCAGCTGTGTTTATCAGGCCTGCAGTAGCATCGAGGTTGTTTTGGAACATAATAAAATGCTTTGTGTTTTAGTTAGATGGGGAATATTTGCGAACATGTGTGTGTGTGTGCACGTGTGTTATTTTTTCATGAAGCCCGGACATGCCTTTGATTAAGGTTTTGGTTTTAGCAGGGCTAGAGAGAACTGCATGATGGGAAGAACAAAGAGTAGGAAGAAAACTACAAATTGCATTTTTTTTTCTAATCAAAATGTGCAATTAATTCAAGGACATAACTAATCACTCAACATGATGTGTGTCTATGTGTGTGTGTGTTTACGTCTCTGTGTGTGTTCTCTCTGCAGACGTATTGACTACAAGCTGAAGAGGCAGGACAGCACCAAAACTTTACTAATAAAAAGTGAACAACTGCTGAGGATTGAAGAGCACGACTTCGCCATGAGACCAGGCTTCGGAGGTCAGGCGCGCACACACACACACACACACACACACACACACACACACATAGCCAAAGAGACAAAGGCACTCATTTCATCTCTGATCCCTGATGATCTAATCTGTTCCCTCACACATCGCCTAACAGAGAAAAATCACTCCTCGCTCGCTGTGGTTTGATGTGATGATGGCCATTGGGTCACACAAACAACGGATGTGATAAAAACAAAATATTACCCCAGCACTGACCCAGATATCACCATCGTGCAGCAACACCAGCATCTGTGTGTGTCTGTGTGTGTGAGAGCTTTGGAAATACAGTAGGACTCAATGTGCTCTCTCAGATGCAACTGTGCATGTATCTGTGTGTGTTTCCAGAACATAATGAGTGTGTGTAGATGTGTGAGTCGCGGGGGTTCGAATGCATTAATCTGGATTATATTCCAGGTCTGGAGCAGATGGAGGGGTGGGCAACAAAGTGACGTCTGCAAAGAAAATCATCGCTATCAAACACGACAATGCATTTATCCACACAGATGGTTCATGTGATTCCATCATATGGATTCAAATATTAATGTATGAACTTGGAACACTCCGTGTGATCTGTATTGTATGTATATTAGTGCCTCTGTGTGTTTGCATTAAGGGATCAATGTACTGATGGTTATTATGCAAAACCAGATTTGGTGTTCAGCTTGAGTTCTGTGATTTTCATTGTTGACTTTTTAGGATTTTGTCAGATTTAGATTTGAGAGAATCTACTGAAGGTGCACTTTTTTATTTCGTCATCATCTTTTAAAAAACTTTTTAAAATAGACACTTAAAAAACTGCAATTCCTTGAATGTCCACTTAAGGCTGCTGCCAAAAGCAAGTCAGTGACCATCGACTCCCATATTAAAATGTCCAACATTAGAGGAGAAATAAACATGTTTACAGCCTGCTACAAGAAAGGTTTTGATCTTTGGTGACAGCTTCTCCCTTTGTGGCATTTGTGCAGCAGGTGAGTATTTTAATGACTCGTGTGCTTAAATTACATTTAGGTTTAAAGTGTGGATTGGGCTTTGAATAAATTTTATGTAATAATTTCCCTTTCTGCTCTTTTTAGTCTTTTTTTTTAATATTATAGTTTGTTATAAGGTTATTTTACTAATAGAGACCCTCCAGGATGTCTGTGCCTCAGATTTGGATTTTATTAGTTAGTTACTCAGCATTAATGAGCCGTGTCTGCACTGTATCCTTGCAATATACAGCAAGGACAGTTTCCACTGGTTTGATTTAATCCAAACCATATAAACAAACTCCGTTGATGATGAAGCCAAGCATGTGAGCTTAGAGCTGGTCGTGAGCAAGATTAATGTGGAGGCAGAAACGCATCAGGAAGCGATTTTGCTGGAACATCTTTGTGAAACTGAATATGCTGATAATCAAGAATGAGATTTCCATATTGGATTGATCAAGGCCTTGTTTAACAACAACTGGGGAAAGACAGTGGGTTTACTGACACAGAGAAGGTTCATGGATGCAGTGAGGGAGGACATGCAGAGGACTGCTGTGGCAGAGGAAGATGCCGGCGACAGGGTGAGATCGAGACACGGGGCCCTGTAGCGACCCCTACATGAGCAGCCAAAAGAAGAAGAAAAGAGGACAGTATTAATTTTGTGTATATGAACAAAAAAATCATCTTTGAGGCCACGAAAATAAAATCAACAATAATATCGTTACTGCCGCCTTCTGATGTAACACATCCAACGTGGAAACATTTTATTTTTAGACAAGAAAAAGTATTTTCTTAAAAAAGTCTCGAGCATCATAGTGTCAGTGATGACTTTTCTATCTTTTGTCATCAGCAGTGGGAAATGCGTTTTTCCATGACTTGACTTCTGGCTGGTTGACATGTTTAACACATAAATACTAAGATCAGACAAAGCCCTCTGCTATGGATGGCAGATGTTTGCATGTGTTTTGTCAGGATGGTGATTTCTCATCATTTAGATAAACTCTCTGTGTGGAACAAAAGCTTTAGTTGATTTATTAGCGCTGGCTTTCACACCGTGCCAGTCGTTGTCTGAACTTGTCTTCAGACTAAAGGCAGAATTAAAAGAAGCCGCTGTTGACAGCTGTTTGAAGCCAAGGTTCAAACTGCGGTCTCCACCCGATCCTGAAAGGTTTGTTAGAGGTTTTTAACGTCATTATTTGCACGACCACAAAAGGCTGCGCAGAGTGAAAATCTAAACACAGGTCTTTTTGACGTTTTAAGGACAATGCAGGCATTTTTCTGCTGGTGACAGTCTCTTCCTTTAATTCTTCCACTGATCATTTTGTTCTTTTTATTCTTGCTCTAAACTTTATTCATCTTCACTCTGAAGCTTTTACTTTGAATATTTCCTGTGGGTTTATTTCATAGATAATCACAGTTTTTGTGAAGTTATTTTCTCAATTCAGGACTTTTAAAACAACAAAAAGTAAATGTAACCATGAATCTACAAAATGAACCGTGTTTCTAGGACACACCTTCACAGACACACAGCCTGCTTGCTGCTTTTGTATGTTCCTCTATATGCCTGGTCTGCCGGCGTCTTTGTGGTCCTGCCTGCCATTCAGGGTGGGAACACCAAACGCACCACTGTCTGCCCCATGGCCCTGCGGCATTTCCACGGACTATAATTTTATACAGAGGGAAATATCAGCATTTTTCTCCCTCAGATAAGCCTATAGCTTCTGTGTGTGTGTGTGTGTGTGTGTGTGTGTGTGTGTGTGTGTGTGTGTGTGTGTGTGTGTGTGTGTGTGTGTGTGTGTGTGTGTCTTGAGAAGCTGAAGAGCCAAAACCATCCCCTCCTCAGAGTCCTTGAAGGGCAGACCAAACTCCAGAAATACTCCTTATGGCATTTCTCGATACCTCTTTCTCATGTTTAGAACTTTTACTGTTTCTAAATCAAGGTCAACCTTTAAAGGATGTCTATAAACTTAAACTTGTCCCCATAAGCTTCACACATGTGTTCCAAATGACACGTCATGTTGCCAGATGCTTGCGATTTACTATGAGGGCTTGGATTATGCTGGTATCCAGTCAAGTGGTGCTATACTTTGGCTGCATCTTCCCGCTCTGTGCGCTCACTTGGCTGCAGTGTCAGGTACAAACCTGACATTTTATTGGCAGATTCATTGCTGCCATCATAACCACACCTCGGAGCATAAAACAAAAGAAAAGGTTTTGATTGCAGGTGTATCCAAAATACTTGATGACTTCTGAAACAAAGTGTGGCTGCTGCTGAAATGATAGATTATGAAAGCTCATTTAAATGGTTTTCTACTTGTTTTGTTCTTCTACAGTGTGGAAGTAAATGTTCCAATACTTAATGTCTGTGAAGATTCTCAGTCATCCAGGTCATCGTAGTCTAAGGAGCTTGGAAAGAAAAACGTCTGCATTTCTTTAAGTTGCTTGAAGATGTTTCACCTCTCATCCGAGAAGCTTCTTCAGTTCAGCTTCTTCAGTTCACTCTTTCCAAGCTCCTTAGACTCCAATACTTAATGATGATATGAGCTGAAATGGGATACAGCAGGATAGTCATATTAAATGTCCTTATATCACAGCCACATTGTTTTGTTGTGCTGTTGTTCATTAATACAGTAATCGGTAATCTCAAAAACATATATGGTCACACTGTACAGGACCACAGCAGGACTTTTGTAAGTTTATAGTTCATATTTTCTTTAGTTTTCATTTAAATTTAATTCAAGTCTGCCTCTGTCGCGAACCAGAATCTGATAAATTATTCAGACCGGCTTTATTTTTCTGCTGTAAATGTAATGAAACCTTTAACTCTTAGGCTACTGTTTCACATTTTCTGCTGCCTCTTTTGCTTCTGCCTCAGGAGAATATCTATCCTTAATCCTCCCTAAAAAGCTCTGATTATCTCGGTATTTGCACAACAACAACAAAAAGTCGAATTGTGGCCATCACCTGACAGCATATTTGAGCGGAGACTAGGAATTCAGAGGGAAAATGCACCCTAACTGTACAGCAAGGTTTCCCTAAAGGTCAGCTGTGATTTAGGGCACATACACCGAGAATGTGCATAGAGACAGAAAACCTGTTTTCAAAGCCTTTTGCTGTAAATTCTGCAAATGTCTTAAAGTGTTTCAGACAAAGATGCAGCATTACACATGGTTAGGCTTCGGCAGTATGGATTCTGTAGTCTGACGCTCATGTTGTCTGAAAGCTGCCTAGAGATTCACCTCTTAATCCCTGTCCACCTCTCACCTTCCCCCTCGTATGATTGGCGCCGATGGAAAGTCAAATGAGAACACACATGCGGCGATGAGGCTCCAGAGAAACATCCTGCCACCTTAAAACTGCATTATGCCGCTTATGACTGCATGGATTGATCCATCTGCAGCGTTGTGTTTGGGGATTAGGGCGACTCGTTCTGAAACGCTGAACACACAAACATTATGGGGCAAAAAGCTGGCCGTTAAAGCTGCACCAGGCAAGGTTTCATGTTAAGCTAAATCTGGAGCAAATCACTAACCGAGAAAATCATAACACTACTCGAATAAAAGTCCAGAGTGAGATTTAGCGGCCAGCAGGACAATGAAAGGAGAGAGCAGAAGTGAGGTGGAAGTTTGCTGCCATTAAAGGTCGCATGTGGAAATATTCTGGTTTTAAAGGCGAGGTAAAGAAGCAGAAGAGCTCACAAGAGACGTTTGCTGATTGTTCCGGCTGATATCACCTAAAACCACCAAAGCACTGATAGCATCACAGTCTCAGTGTTGCTAAACCAGGCTCAACAGGGACTTAAGAAGATGTTTTCTCCCTCTTTCCTTGTAGCAGAGCTAATCACATGAGCTGATAAGAAAAAGAAACAAAAAATATGTTGTGCAGGTCAGAGAGGCTTTGTGACAACAAGCGTCCTGCATGAAGCCAACGAGGAAGTGGCAGGGTCATGGTCCTGGGTCTTTTGATCCAGTGCTTTGTGTTTTTTATTATTATAATCTTGTGTTCTAGTTTGCTCCTGTTGTGT